ACAAAAGGCCCAAAGCCTCATCAAAGGTACCTCGGTTGTGCTGAAGGCCCAGCAATTAGTTATCTGGGAAACAAATACCTGCCTTAGAACATGGAAATTGCCTGCTGGCTGCAGCAGCGGAGTGGGTTTGCAGCCTCCTTCCCCAACATTTATAGGCACAGCCCTGGAGAGGCACCTGGAGACGGCAGAAGAACCCATGGAGCTGCAAGCTGCTTCCCTGGCGCTGCGAAGGCTCTTCCTGCAAAAGCTGCCAGGCTGGAAAACACACAGGGCTGTTAGGGTTTGCAGAGTTTGCCTATGCAGCAAGTGTAGTGAACTTTATTTCAAATGTATGGGAAAACTCCGCACCTTAGGGCTTCGCACTGGCCTTGGCCTCCCTGCAGGGAGCTGGCGAGCTCCCCGGAGCTCAGCAGGGACTGGTACTGCCTCTTCAGGCAATTACAACCTCTCAGTTGAGATTGGGAGTTAAAATATGTTTTTTTTTTTTTTATGAAATGTGTGGAGTTTTCAGGTAAGACAAGGCTGTGTAGAGGAGGCCAAGGGCACCAGGGCAGCTCCTGCCTCCCCGTGGCTGCCACTGCTGCAGTCAGAGTCTCTGCCCCGCTGCTATCGGGGCTGTCCTCTTGCCAGAGAGCCTCTTTTTTTTGGAGCCTCCCCTGTTTTTTGGGGGAATTTTAGGGCGCTTGGGGAAGGGGAGCGCGGGGCCGGCGCTGGCCGCCAGGGGGCAGCGCCGCGCCGGGAAGCCCCGAGCGGCCGTTGGGCTTCGGAGCGGCTGCCCCCGCGCAGCGCCCTGCGCTGAAACCGCCCTTTTCCGACCCAAAAGGCAGCAGCCGGCCCTGGCCTGAAGGCGGGATGTGCCAGCGGGGCGCGGGGAGCCGCAGCGTGGGGAGGAGGAGGTGGCAGAGCGCAGGAGGCTGCGCGTGGCGCGGGCCGGCCTGGTGGCGCAGGGCTCCCCGCCAGCGCCTTGTGAAACGCGCAGGAGAAACTAAAAAAGGGAAAAGCAGGAGCCCTGCTCGGGCGTGCTGACAACCTTGTGTCAGGAAAGGATGGGGAAAGATCTTCGTTTTGCTAGTATCAGCTTTTATAGATTCTGCAATATTATCCATTAGTTGTTTGCAAGAATGTGCTTTGCATTTCAGTGATGAGCAACTGGAAACAGAGAAACAGCAAAACTCTCATGGGGGGGTTTTTCCTCCTCAGACTGAGCGGTCATTTCAGATAATCCTCATATGTTTAAAAGCAGCTATTTGGACAACTGGGGTTTTGAATGGGAGTGCAGGGGGCACAAAGAGCATGAGAACCAGGGCAGGAGGAGACGGGGTGTTAATGGGCGAGGGCAGCGAGGCCGGGCCGCTGCGGCCTGGGTGACGCTGCTGCACAGGCTCTTTGTGAGCACGGGGCCCTGCAGGGGCTGGAGGCCGCGCAGAGACCACGAGGCTGGAGAAGGCACCAGGCCGCGTTCTCTGCATTAGAACTGAGGCCTCGGTTTAAAGGTTTTTGTTTCTCTTTTTAATTGGGAGAAGAAAACCTCCTAAGTCATCTTCCTTCTGTTTTTCTTTTCTGCTGCTGATGGTTCACATAATTGAAATGGGGAGGGATGGAGGAAAGGGTGTTTTTGAACTTCCTTCCTGTTTTTTTTTGTTCTGTTTCCTACCTGGAACATCTTAAGAGGGCATGTAACGAAAAACAAAACTTAGTTTAAAGGGTGAAAATTCCTAGGCAAGATTAAAAATGGATTTGGCTCAGAAAGGTAGAAAAATGGGAATAGTATTTGCAATCTGCATCTGTGTTTAAAGCCAAACAAGCTGCCTTCCCCGGATGAGGAGCGGAGGCTGCCCAGCCGTGCTGCTCCGTGGCGGTGCTGTTGACCCGGCAGTGGGGAGGCTTCAGTGCAGGCAGCCGTGTTCCCTGTTCCCCCCTCGCTGTTATAGAGCTGCTGTATATCGCACTGCACTGATTTGGTATGGTGACATATAGCAAATACAGGTTGGATGGTCCCTGGAGACTCACTCTCCCAAATATCCTTTTGAAAGCCCAAGGTGTGTGGCTTGCTGTGCTCGCTGGGAGAGTACTCAAACCCAGCACCAGAACGTCTCTGCTGAACTAAAGAATGAAAAGCATCAGAGACTTAATGATTTAATATGGCAGTGTTTGGGTGGGAAGCCCACTGGTTTTAATTCTGGCACTTGTTAGGAATTTGGGAGAAAGCCCCAGGACTGCAGCACCCAGATTGCAAGGGGCTGCATCTTACTGTGTCAGCAGCTGCAGCTTGCTCGTGTGCTGTAACCCCATGAGAGTGTCAGCACCCATTCCCGCTCTCCTGCAGATTTGCATGCTCTCTAGATGTGTATTTTTATTGCAGATAGTATTTACTGTAGCATCCTGCAGGTGACACCTCTCTGGCCATTCTACTGTCTTCCATTTGCAATTAATGTGCCACAAAAGTGATGCAGAAGAGTGAGATAACCATAATGCTTTAGCAAGGGCCCAGTTTGGGGGCTTTAGGTTACTCTTCAGTGCTTTAGAGGCCGTATAAAGGGACTTCCATCCATCCATTTTAACGTAACGCGCGTCCAGCAGTGCTCTGCAGCGCGTGCTGTGCAGCAGTAAGAGCTTCTCCCCAGCCCTGCGGAGCAGCGGCTCCTTCGTTAGTGGTGGTGCCACTGCCCCGCTGGCCTCGGGGCACGCGGCAGGGCCCTGACCCCTCGTGGCAGCGGCTGGCCTGGCATCACTCGCCTCTGGGTTTGCTTCGGAGGTCTGAGTCACTGGGGATGGATGGGAGAGACGCATTAGGGGGAGATTACAAGGGAAGCCCGTATGAAGCAGGATGAGGTGGTAAAGCATCCAAGGCCCTCAGGAGCAGTGCAGCTGTGTCCAAGCAGGAGAAGAGGGACAGGAGAGCCATGGTGTAATCCATGCATTTCCATGCAATGTCACAGGCAGCAGAGGTTTTACTATAGCAGCACAGCAGAAGCCCCAGAGCAGGTTAGTGAGACAGAGTCCATATCCTCATAGTCTTTCCCTGTGCATTAAGTTTAAAGTTAAAAGGGAAGATGTAGGAGAGCACTTTCTAACCTGCTATGGAGGTTTCTGGATGTACTTTTCTGTTATGAAATGGTGTGTGATGGGAAGGATGGTGTAGTCAAAGATCTCGGAATGGGAGTGAAAGCCTCCCCGTGTCAGCCCTGAGCGCGCTGCCCGCGGGTGCTGTCCAGGCTCTGGGGCAGGGAGGTCACGCTGGGGTGCAGGCAGGACAGCCAAGGGCTGCAGAGGGGCCGTGACTGCAGAGAGATATTTGGTCCGTTGAGAGTCTTTGATTTTGTACCCACCACCAAGAGTCATGAGGAATTGTAATTGGTATCAATTTTCTATGTATTTAATGTTTTCTAATGTTTCTTCTCTAGAGAAGCAGTATTGATCTTTTATATAAGTATAGATCCTGGGCAAGATACCCAATGTGTGGTGTGTATGTGTATATATTTTTTTTCTTTAAAACATAAATAATCAGTGATTAGTATGTGTTAAGGCACTTGGAGGCAATGCTCCCAAGGGAAGCGTTCCCAAGCTCCTTGGGAACTCCAAGGGAGTTCTTGCAGTTTCACAGTATCATTAGTAAGGGACTGGTTTCAGATAAAACCCATTTGATTGATACCTGGCAAGCAAATGGACATGAGCGCGTCTGCTCCCCATGGCACATGTGTGTTGGGACACATCTGTGTCCCCACAGTGTTGGGTGTCCTGGGCTCCCGTGTCCCATTCCCCCATTCTGCTGGCGCCGGCAGCCGCTGTCACGGCTGGGCTGCACTGCGGCGCTGCGGAGCGGCCCCCAGGCGCTTTGCCCAGCGGGAGCCGCGCACCGGGGGAGCCGCGAGATCTGCCGGGATCTCCCCGCTCTGCGGCAAACCCCTCTGGAGCCCGTGGGAGGAAACATGTTTTGTAAATGCCAGTCATTACCGGCTAATGGGCGCGTTAGCGAGCGGGCTGCCTGGCAGCGGGGGTGGCATGCGGCAGACTCGGGTACTGATGACACCAGCATGCTGCAAGGGACACCCCAGGCACCTGGGCGAGTGGGGCAGGCCCGAGGGATGGGGTGATGCTGGTCAGGAGGGAAGGGCCTCTGTCCCTCCGAGGAGCCTGTCTGTCCTCTGCACTGGCGACTGCTTGGCCACCATGTTGGGATGCCCTGCCGGGGCATCAGTAGGTATCCGGGGATCACTGAAAGTTGCTTTTTGGGGGACCGTGGTCTGCTGAAGCCCCCAGAGCAAGTCAGCTTGGAGGTGCACCTCTGCAGCATCCTCCTTACCTCTTGCCTGTTTGCAGCCTTTGGCTGTGGCTGCTGGCGGCCATGGGAGCAGTAGTGGTCCCTGGCCCTTTCTGTCCTTCTACCTGCTGCTTTCCAGCTAGCAGCAAATAACGGGGAAAATATTTGTGGTGGAAAAAATGTAAATTTACTGTAGTTTCTCAGTCTGGCCACCAGGGAAAATTATAGCCCTGTGCACAAGTGCGGAGCGAGGTTTCAGAAGCACCCAGGGTTGGAGTGGCCCTTGTTCAGTGCTTGAAACGCTGCACAAGGTGCACGTTCGGGAAGAGAGGGCGTTGCGAGGCGAATCCATCCCAAAACTGTCTGTGAAAGGCCATGTCCCCTGCTCTGAGCTCTCCTGTGGTGCCTGTGGAGTTCTCCTGTGGTGCCAGGCCGCACACTCGGCCCCGCTCCAGGGTGGCAGGTTGGCAAGGCATTAACTCGCCTTGGCTCAGGCGTCGCTGCTCTAAGATGCCCTATTTCTCATCCTTGATGTCTCATCTCTTATAAGGTGCCAGGGCACCAGAAATGGGAGCTCTAGCCTAGAAGTCCTTCCAACACATACCACGCTTGCTCTTCAGACCATGAGTGCTTAAGTAGAGGGGCTCTGGAAATGACCAGCTTATTGCGTCCTGCTAATTCCAGATTCAATTGACTCTTTTTTCCAGTAATGGGGTCATTTTCCCTACCTCGGACCAGCATGAAGCTGGAGCCTGGTCCTGTAGCCCATGTCTTTGTGAGGAACATCAGCGCTAGCAAAGGCTTGGCAGGTGAAGTGCAGCACGGTCAAAGCCAGATGCCCGTGCTACCTGCCAGGAGCAGCGAGGCCGGGTGCTACTTGGCTGCCCCAGCCTCCGGGGAGGCTGCGCCGTCACCGTGGCTGCTGCCTGCCTCGTGCAGCCTCTCAGCGTTGCACACCGCCTCTGTCAGCACCTGGGGCAAGTACTGCTGTTCCTCATATCATGGGTGTCCTCCTCCACATCCACAACTTGCCATCAAGGTGGGGGGAATTGGGTTGTGTTGGGGAAGTGTCCTGAGGAAAGCTGTTCTGGCAGCCACAGCAGCCGTGTTTCTACTCGCAGCCTCCTTGAAGAGGCGGCTGCACAAAGCGCAGTGGGGTTTGCTCAGCAGTTGTAGGACTCCTGCACCTCATCTTTGTCCCACAAAGCAAACGCTGATGATACTCACCAGGTCTGCCCTGTCCATCTAGGCCAAATATTAGCAACAGCCGTGTCCAGCTGTCAAATGATTTAATTTTACTGGAGGGCCCACTCCGGATGAGAGGCTAGCTCTTCTTTCAAACATCCATTTCCAAACTCCATAGACATGTTCCCCACAGCTTCGTCATTCATCTCCTAACAGCCACTGATCTAATTGTTTTGTTAAATTTTGTGCACGGTTTGTAGCATCCATTATCTTTTTTTTTTTTACGTTGTCCCTTTTGAATTGCAGGCTCCACACTGACTCGTTCAGGTAGTTCCAGCAGACCTAGAAAGTCAATCTTCATCTCTTCTTGGTACAGTACCATCTACAGAAATCAGAGCATAAACGCAGAGCGAGAAAGGGCAGCAACAACAAGAGCAGAAGAAAGCAGCGTGCCTGGGAGCGGGGTATGAGGAGAAAAAGAGAGAATTTTCTTTGATGTATTCGTTTCCTCTTATTAGTATCCATCTAGTGGTGCTCAGGCTGAGATAGCTGACCTGTCCAAAAGTTAGTGATCCACACACAATCCACTCCCAATAGTGCAAAAGTACAGACATCACAGAATGAAAATAGCAGAAGTCAAGATGAAGGAAGAAACCATGGGCTGCTAGATATGAGTGGGAATAACCTAAGTTCACCCAAGTGGCAGAGGTACTGTCTTAGTTTGCAGAGAGTGAGGGAAAAAATGTCTTAACAATCTCATTCTCCCACCTATCAGCACCTCTCTTCTGTGTTTGCTATGCTGCTCCCGCTAAAGACTGCCCACACTTGAAAGGGCCTGGCAGGCTACAAGGTCAACCGTGCACAATTTCCTCTAATTGCGTGGGTCTGGCTGACCTCCTTACTCCGGAGCAAGGAAGGATAACAGCAGACAGAGATGACAGGGGAAAAAGCCTGGCAAAACTTTTTCTGCCCCTGTGGAAGAAGACTGTCTGTTATCAGAGACATGGTTTCCATAGCGTTGGCTCCTGAGCAATGCTGGCTCTTGGTACTGGAGCTCTATATGGGGTGTTCAGTTCCCCTCCACGAATGCCATCCCCCAATGCCATGGGAGCCCTGCAAGGCGCCAGAGCAGAGCCTGGCTCACAGCTCCCTGCTGGAGCGCATGGACAGCTTTTCCTGGTGAGCTTCTTGAAGTCCTGCCAACACAAGGACGTGTATTGGCCATTGCTACCAGCTCACAAGCTTATCTGGGTTGTTCCTGCGAGACGGTGCCAGGTCTGTGTGCAGCACTACTGGAAGGAGAGGGGAGACAGTAAGTCCAAGTTGGTGTTTGTAGGTATTGCTTCTTGGTAATGCTCTTGCAAGGGGATATTGGCTCTCCTGAAACTTAGCTCAGGAAAGTGGAACATGAAAGGTTGCCGCGAGTTTTATTTGTGTATAATCACGCACAACCTGTGCTGCTTTCTTGCTCAACATCTTTGCTCCTGCCAAGATGAAAATCTAGTAGATGGACAGCAGTAAAATAAATCACCAGCTCTTAAAGCTGTGCAAAATAGTATTGCAGTGAATAATTACTCATAACCACTACACAGTGCTGCAAAGAGATGATGTGTCTTCAGGATATGTGCTAGAGGGAGGTGCAGGATGTGCCGGTGCTGCACTGCTCTGTGCTGTGTGCCCGGCCGTGCTGAGGAAAGGCTAGGCGAGCTGAGGAGCCCCGCGGTGCAGCCACGTGCCGCCCACCTCGAGCGACGGGTGGCAGCAGTGACGCGGTTATCGCAGCCGCGCTGCGGGGAGCCCGGCTCGTGGCGTGGTGATGAGTCCTCTGTGTTTTCCTGCATCCTGTAGTGCAAGCACCAGGCTCTGGGTTGGGTCTGGAAGAACGTTATCTCTGTGAACAGTAATGGAGACGATGCCCCAGTGCAGCTGCTGGGGCAGGGTGCCCTCCTTTGCTCTCTAAATGGCCCTGTGCATTCAGGCTGCACCTAAGCTGCCAAAGCTGAGCCTTGCACCTATGGGGGTTTGCAGGTGTCCTGCAGGAACTCAGCTGCAGCGGGTTAAGCTGCGATGCTGTGACTGGTAAAGGCTGAGAGCACCAGGCCAGGTGGGGCTGCACCAGTGACTGAAACAGGGCATCCCATGGCTCCCTCCTCGTGGCTGCTCTCAGGTGCTGGCCGTGTTAATCCCTTGCGCTTCCCATGGCCCTCGCTCCAGAGGCTGCTGAGCAGCGGAGTTGGAGGGTGCCAGTAATCCCTGCAAGAGTGACGGGCAAGCTCTCGTATTGCTGTATTTTGCTATCTATCATTTTAATGTCACTTTTAATGTATGAATTATACCCCCATTGTGTGTAATTATATTTCTCCTCCCAACCCTGCTCAAGGAACAATGAAACGACGGTGTGGTTAATATTAAAAACAGCACATCTCTCTCAAAAAAAGTTAGAGGTCACATCTTCTTTCCTAGTGTGTGAGGATAGTTAATCAAAAGATGATGGGACTGGAATGAGTCCTGCACAATTTCTCATGGAATTTAATTAGAAAGGCTGTTTTAACAGCATCTGTGTGTGCATCTCCTATTTTGCCTGGTACTGTGACTAGCCATACCTGGAGCCAGGATGATGGAAATCAGCCTGTGTCTGTCTTTTCTCTTTTTGTTTTCTTTTTATAAAGCAAAATGAGGAACCAAAATCAGTAATAAAAATGCTTAATAGCAATAAACCCCAGCAGGAATCAACTTCCTGTTAGCTTTCCTCAGAGTTTCTCTTGTAGGTCAAGAGATGGTGCTAATCAATGAGGCATTTTGCAAAAGTTCGTGCTCTACTTGTCCCAGTAACGAACCTTCGACCTCTAATTTTCTTAGCAGTGCATAGTTCCTCGATGGGAAATTAACTGAGGGGGCCTTTATGTGGGAAAAGCAATTATTTATGCTAACGGGGGTGTTCCCACTGCTCTGACTCCAGTCGCTGGTGGCTCAGGCAAGCCTGTTCTCTTTGTCACGGTGGGATGTGCTCTGGTGTGAGTGCGGTGCTCTGGAACCAGCTTCTTCCTGAGGTTCCATAGTGCCCTCCGCAAGCAAGGGCTGTGTTCCAAATTCAGGTCCGTGAGGTACTGCTGCTGAATGGCATGGTGGGAGAACATTTAAGTAGAGATGGAGATAATTTACTGTGACAAAGAGATGGATTTCTCTCCCTGCCTACTCAATATAGACTGATTTTTTAAATATTCCTTTTTTATTAACTTTCCTCACAATAAAAGTTAATATCCTCGATGTGATTGTATAACTGAAATGAAGTTACAGTATAAAGTAGACTGTTTCTTAATGAACTAACAAGTGAGGGTTACGCTAATTCAGTTCAATGTGGCTGGCTGAAGGCTTCCTCCAGCTGCGCGCTGCTCCCAACCGCGCGGTGCCCCGGCTGGTGATAGTCCTCACGGGCTTGCAGCAGCCCTGGCCTTGAGCACTAGCACTGCAAAGCAGCTTCCCAAGTCTGTGGAGAAGTCTGGACTTGCCCGGTTGTGTTTAGGGCAGAGCAGCCAATGGGCTACAGAAGTAATATCCTCCTTTTGACTCGTGTCTAGGTGACTAGGTATGTTTTGAGGTGTTTTTGCGGAGGCAAATATGAATTTTGCTTCTGTGCTGGCCTGAGCCAGGAGCTCACTCGGCTGTGCGGAGGCCCCTGAAAGCTTGGCCGGATCTTGCCCATGCACCTCTGCCCAGCACAGCTGCTTCGCATCATCCTTCTGCAGCTTCCCCTTGCTCTTGTGCCTCCAAAAACGCTCCCTACCTCTTTACTGAGCTCCCGGGCTCCTGGTTGGGAGCAGTGCCGCTCCCTGACTCGGAGCAGGCCCTTTTCCCTCACGCGGCAGCAGAGCGCAGCTCCCTGTGGAGCAGAACTCACCTCGTTCCCGCCTAGCACCGTGACACTCTTTTTGTATTTTTAATAACCAGGTGGATAATAACTCTATTTACAGGGAAATTGTCCCTTTTCAGGAGTGTCGTGTTTACCTTTTCCGTATTTGTTGCAGTCTATTGCTACAACCCTCTCACAAATGGATAATTCTTGTTCTGATTTTTCTCTACCGGGGATGTTTTGTTTTCTGTTGGCTGATGCTGTCTGCTCGGTCTGTGGAGGATTAACCTATGCGCTGTTGCTAGGTGGCCTTAAGCAAAGAAATAACACAGATCACAGGCTCCTGCATTCCTACGGTATGCAGCTCCCTCCTTCTGCAGGGTTTTTCTTCCCGTGTCCTCCTCACGCTTCATGTTTGTGGCTGTGGAGATCCATACCACAGGATGTGTAGGTGATTCACATAAAAGTAATGGTCTAGAGCCATCCACAATGTCACTCTTATTTGATCTGAAAATATTTAGTGACTAATTCCTTGCCAGCTCTGCATACTTTTCTACCTCTTGGGTTCCATCAGTGCCCAGGCCTCCTCCATAGTTTTTTGGATGTGTTTCCTTCCGTACTTGAGGTCTTAGGGTGGTCGGAGGAACGTGGCACTGTGGAGGCCACGGCGAGGGGACAGCAGGGCTCCTGACAGGAGCACCTCTTTGTGCCAATGCAAACGGACTAGGGGAGCCTCGCTGCGATGCACATAGCAGATATCATCTCCATTTCATC